TCATCATTCAGCCTCTCGCACAGAAGCGTTCAGTTATGTTCTTATAGAAAGCTGATGGCTACATTGATCTTCAGACTCAGTGGCTGAAGCATTCCAAGAGACATTTTGAGACAGGCGAACTGAATGTTCTAGTGATAATTTGTTATCTCTTATTCGCATGGCAGACCTGGCAGCAACAGTTTTGCGACCTAGGCAAGTTCTTTTTCTTTGGTGGCATGTCTTAGGCAAGTATGAATTGTCAAATGGAATGTGTGGGCAAATACCAGAAGAGAACGCTGAAAAGCTACAGGAATAACTAAGCTCAAATAACTTTAGGAAAGGTTGGAAAAATAAATGTTGAGTAATAAAAACGTAATTTTACTTATTACTACAATGAATGCATTGCAAAAACTGGCAGGACAGTAAAAAAATTTAAATTGGAAACGGCTATAAACAACAATGAAAACAATGCCTTAAAACTGGCTTTATACAACAGAAAAGGTAACCTCATTTGAGTCAGATTGTATGCTTGACTAAGAAAGGGGAAATGTATAAGCAGGGATGAATGTACAGAAGTAGAAGTGGAATTGCAGAATTAAGCAGTAGCAATGAGCTTATGACTTCATAGGCAATCAGTATGACATGGTGACATTTGATTGGACATGTAAAGGGGCTTCATGCAGTCAATGGGCAACTTGAACAGGTGCCTCATTCCCCAGGTCATGTGTATGCGCATGCATCAGCACATGAAACAGCACGTGTTCAGGGCCACATATACACACGTTGCTGCACATGCTAATGTGCCTAAACGTTAGGCTAACAGTGCACATCACTGATGTCTTACACCTGTAGAACTTATTTTAGGCTCACTACAAATGGAATGCGTGGGCAAATACCAGAAGAGAACGCTGAAAAGCTACAGCAATCACTAAGCTTGAATAACTTTAGGAGAGATTGGAAAAATAAATGTTGAGTAATAAAAAAGCAATCTTACTTATTACTATGCTGAATCCAGCTGGCAAGACAATAAAAAAAAATTGGGAATGGCTATAAAGGACAATGAAAGCAGCGTCTTAAAACTGTAGTATTAGGTTGGTGCAAAAAGAATGACGTAAGAATGTCGTTTTTTGACGTTAAAAAATACGTAAAAAAAACGACATTATTACGTCATTATTTTTGCACCAACCTAATAGCAAACGTTATGCAAGGTAACCTCACTTGAGAGAGATTGAAATTTGGCCAAGAGAAGGGGAATGTGTAATTTGGACTCAAAACCGGTACTGAAGAATTATCTATCAAACAAAAAAAAATTTCATCAAAAAATTTCACACACACACACACACATATTTTGAGAATTATAGATATAAGATGAAGTGAAGAGGAGAGAAGAAAAGAGACGTGCTACATGGGAAACTGTCGATCGACAAAAAAAAAAAAAGCTCAGGCCTGCACCTTGCTGGGAACTAAGTGATGTCGTCACATCTGGAGGAAATGTAATTATTTCCTGATAAAATGTAATTATTTCAAGAGTAAATTAAATTATTAATTTCGAAAATTAAATTAAATTTTCGAAAAGCTTAATGAAAAAAAAAAAATCAAATAAATATGGTAATAATATATTCTCCAAAAAGGAAGAAAAAGAAGTTTTATTTAAAATGTAATCTACACGTCAAACCCGGACAATCCGTTTTTCAAATCACATTGTCGTGGAGACTTGCCACCAATCAACGTTTCGACTCCAAGTTTTCTCCTCCCCGTTAAGTCAATCACAAAATTTGAAAGCGACTTCAATGGCCGCCTTCACTTCACTGGTTATACAGAAATTAAGCACGGGACAGGACGGGTCGAGAAAAGAAACGCCATTTTGTCGGCTAACTCCGTTGAAAGGACATTGCAAAAGACACGTTCATCTCGGAAAATGTTTTATTCATTCGATAAATCCATTAGAATGGACATCGCAAAATGGTTAGGTGGCTGTGCGTGGAACTGTGTAAAGAAACGGGGAAGGGGAGTAAAATTGAATGACCTTCATGTCTTGGGACAAGCGAGAAGTAAATGAGCTTAGATGCGAATGGGTAGCGAAAAAATTCTGTCAAGACATTTTTGAATGTGTCGAACCAAATCTATTTATTCGAAAGATGGCACACACACACACGCACAGACACACACACATGCACACTCACACACACATATATGTGTGTGTGTGTGTAGAGAGAGAAGCTAAAGTCTGGTATATGAAAACAAGACAAACAACAAGTGATGATCAATGCATTCAAGTATGAAACTGACCTGGCCTACAACCTTGTTATTTATTATGTTACGTCATTAAGTGTCTATTTAGATGTGATGTATCTATGGGGTGATATGAACAAATTTAGATAGATAGATAGATAGATAGATAGATAAGTGAACAGACTGATATAGATAGATAGATATAGATACATAGATAGATAGATAGGAAAAGAAAAGGTACGAACAGATAATAAGATTAATACATAGGAAAAGAAAAGAAAAATTACAATTAAATAGAAAGGTAGTTAGAGGGAAACAGAAAATAGATAGATAGATAGATAGATATTAGGTTGGTGCAAAAATAATGACGTAATAATGTCGTTTTTTAACATATTTTTAAGGTCAGAAAACAGCATTATTACGTCATTATTTTTGCACCAACCTAATACATATATAGGAACAGAAGAAAGATACGAATAGATAGATAGAATGAAAACATAGATAGATAGATAATGAACAGACTGAGATAGATAGATAGATAGATAGATAGATAGATAGATAGATAATGAACAGACTGAGATAGATAGATAGATAGATAGATAGATAGATAGATAGATAGATATGTACTGATATGATAGGATGAGAAGCACATAGGAAGCGTTTATACATTTGACGTTTTTGCATTTATTTAAACTTAATCAGAAAAGGAAATATAGAAGAGAACAGAAAATTCGGTTGTTTTTCATTTTTTGCTTGTTTTCTCATTGGTTAAGCAGACCTCACATGTATCTAACCTGTCAAGCAACCTCGTGTATATAATTCATGTGTTTTTTGTATGTGTCATAATTCTAGTTTTTTTGTTTTTGTTTTTCGGGATTCGGTTGTGTGCGTGACTCTGTTTGAGCGTCTGTTTGGCATTTACATCTATGTTTGGTGGTTGTTCGTATCTTTCTTTGGGGATCTTTTGTGATGTTCATATCATGCAAAATTTCCACAAAGCTGACCGAGATGGATAGCTAGCTAGCTAGCTAGCTAGATAGATAGATAGATAGATAGATACGGGTAGACTGAGATAGATAGATAGATAGATAGATAGATAGATAGATAGATAGATAGATAGATACGGGTAGACTGAGATAGATAGATAGATAGATAGATAGATAGATAGATAGATAGATAGATAGATAGATGTGAACAAACAGAGATAGATAGATAAATAGATAGATAGATAGATAGATAGATAGATAGATAGATAGATATGAACGAACTGAGATAGACAGTTAAAAAAATTTTCTCGCACTTTTCGCTTGTGGAACTTTCTTCCGTCTCCATGCTTTCCAGGCAACTTTAATCTGCAAAAATTGGAATGCAATGTCAATCGCTATCTACTGTCCACCTAATTACTTTCTTCTCTTCTGGCTTATTAATAAAGTTTGTTTTCCCAATTTTTCCACACACAGTCATCCGTTGTGTCTTAGTGTATTTTCTGCTTTGCTTCGGGTGAAATCGATTAAAATAGATAGATAGATAGATAGATAGATAGATAGATAGATAGATAGATAGATAGATTTCTTAAGAAAGAAAGAAAGAAAGAAAGAATCAATCATTATGAGAAAGGAACAGAGTGGGAGTGATAAAAAGAAGACTCCTAATGCAAGTAAAAAAAAAATGGCAAGTTCCGCCATATTGTATTTATTTACGGAACATTTTATACCCTTTTTTGCTTCTTTATTTGTTTTGGGAGTTACTTATTTGGCTGTGGCGGGTGTGCAGTGGTGTAAAATTTTGGCAATGTTTTGGCGAAATGTCAAAACAAATTAGTTTCAGAGTTAGGGCCTTGTTTTTAATAGTTAGAAACATGACACGCCCGTCAAGCAGACTTTCCCCATTGGAGATGCCATTACCCTGTTTCGTGTTTCCATGCATTTTATTACATTCAGTTAGATAGAATAAGAACCAAACAAAATAAAATCGAAGTCGCCGCTGTCATCGGTTAGAAAATATACGTACTTAAATACTAGGAGATAATAGCATACTTTTTTGTCCCCAATAGACCGCATTCTAACAGCCATGTTTGCAGTCCCTGTCTTCAATATTTGCAATGCATTTCAATAGTAATATATATATAGTCACGTATCATGTGACCTTTGAATACTTGTTGCTAATTTGACTACACTAACTGGATATATAGTCTGGTCAACGGCATTGTCAGGGCCACCATTACGTACGCTAATTTTATATCTCGTATCTCGACCTCCTTAAAATTAGCTTTAAATTTAAGTCTTCAAAAGCCGCAGGATACGCGAGTATCTACGATAAATACATTAGCGATACATTTTCATTACACATAGAAAAGCTCTATTCTGCCAAGTTTGTTTATATTAACTCTTGACAATCGACAAACCCTTCCTCTCTGATTCTCAGTACAATGTTTACGGTCGAAAAAATTAGCAGTTCATTTAAGTTATACATCATTTCATCGAGGTATATTCAAATCAAACTGGCTGAAATCCGATATAGGATCTGACACGATGAACTGTAACCATTCCAAATGACATATTTGTTTGTGATAGATATATACATATATGCATACATACACAGGAACAGAAGAAAGATAAGAATAGATAAATAGAATGAAAAAAGAGATAGATAGATAGATAGATAGATAGATAGATAGATTAAACAAATGGTACAAACATATCATTTGTTTTCTCTACCTACCTAGCTACCTATCTATCTATCTATATATCTATCTATCTAATTTTTCATTCCGCCTGTCTGTCTGTTATATGTATCTATCTATCTGTATCATTTCTTTTCTACCTAGCTGCGTACATCTATCTATCTATCTGTTCGTATCATTTGTTTTATCTATCTATCTATCTATCTATCTATCTATCTATCTATCTATCTATCTATCTATCTATCTGTTCGTATCATTTGTTTTCTGTGTCTATCTATCTATCTATCTATCTGTTCGTATCATTTATTTATCTATCTATCTATCTATCTGTTCTATCTATTTATTATCTATCTATCTATCTATCTATCTATCTGTTCGTATCATTTGTTTTCTGTGTCTATCTATCTATCTATCTATCTATCTATCTATCTATCTATCTGTTATCTTTTCTGTATCATTTGTTTTCTGTATCTATCTATCTATCTATCTATCTATCTATCTATCTATCTATCTATCTATCTGTTCGTATCATTTGTTTTCTGTGTCTATCTATCTATCTATCTATCTATCTATCTATCTATCTATCTGTTCGTATCATTTGTTTTCTGTGTCTATCTATCTATCTATATCTATCTATCTATCTATCTGTTCGTATCATTTTGTTTTCTGTGTCTATCTATCTATCTATCTATCTATCTATCTATCTATCTATCTATCTATCTATCTATCATTTCTTTTCTGTATCATTTATTTTCCATTCTATCTATCTATCTATCTATCTATCTATCTATCTATCTATCTATCTTTTTTATTCCGCCTGTCTCTCTGTTATATGTATCTAACTATCTGTATCATTTCTTTTCTACCTACCTACCTACCTACCTACATATCTATCTATCTATCTATCGGTCTATCTATCTATCTCTTCGTATCATTTCTTTCCTGTACCTACCTACCTAACTACCTAGATAGATAGATAGATAGATAGATAGATAGATAGATAGATAGATAGATAGATAGGAAAAGAAAAGGTAAGAACAGATAAAGAGATTCATACATAGGAACAGAAAAGATAGGATGCAATTAAATAGAAAGGTAGATAGATTGAAACAGAAAACATATTAATAGATAGATAGATATATAGATAGATACATACATACATAGGAAGAGAAGAAAGATACTAATAGATAGATAGAAAAATAGATACGAAGAGAGGAAAAGAAATGATACGAACAGATAGATAGATAGATAGATAGATAGATAAATAGATAGATAGATAGATAGATAGATAGATAATGACCACCATTAGATAGATAGATAGATAGATAGATAGATAGATAGATAGATAGATAGATAGGAAGAGAAGAAAGATACGAATAGATAGATAGAAAAATAGATACGAAGAGAGGAAAAGAAATGATGCGAACAGATAGATAGATAGATAGATAGATAAGTAGGTAGATTCCCTTCATATGATTCCGATCATCTATCAATCTGTGATTCCTTTCTATCTATCCATTTTAATTGAGTTCACCCCAATCAAGGCAGAAAAGATACTAAGACACAAATTTCAATCTGTAAGTCAGTTAAGTGCCATACGTTATACACGCTCGGGCGATCATGTCTGTTTCGATTCGTGACTGGCTATAGGCAGCAAGTTTTCCCGCAGTCGGTTACCATTTTTTCCGCGGCAGACTAGTTGCCGACCAAGGATTTAGGATCCAGTTAATCCTGCTATTTAATCCATAGCCGAGGGGAATAGAGATCGATTCATAGCTTTCCAAAGGAAATTTGCGTGTAAGTGATTGTGACAAACCCGAAGTGAATTCGAACTCGGCACTACATGACAACAAATCACACATCCTATCGACCCTGAGTGTTCAGAAGTATGATAGAACTGCCTTAACTATCGAACTGTTGTATGTTTTAAACGTCATTTTTGTGCTTTCTGTAAATGTAAACTTAAGTCTTGCCGAATGATGAAATGTCAACGAATTGGTCAGTAATATGAACTGATTCCTGAAATTTTCTTGTATTAAAAAGTGTCAAATATACTACTTTGGCTATATAGATATATATTTCTATATAAGTAAAGGATAATTTATTTATGTATTCGACAGACTTTATTACTTAAATGTTATTCTTGCTGGATACCCATACTTGAGTAGATGCTTCTATCTATCTATCTATCTATCTATCTATCTATCTATCTATCTAATGGTGGTCATTATCTATCTATCTATCTATCTATCCATCTATCTATCTATCTATCTATCAAATGGTGGTCATTATCTATCTATCTATCTATCTATCTATCTATCTATCTATCTATCTATCTATCTAATGGTGGTCATTATCTATCTATCTATCTATCTATCTATCTATCTATCTATCTGATGGTGTTCATCTTATCATCTATCCATCTATCCATCTATCTATCTATCTATCTATCCATCTAATGGTGGTCATTATCTATCTATCCATCTATCTATCCATCTATCTATCTATCTATCCATCTATCACAGACACACCATCCATCTATCCTATCTATCCATCCATCCATCCATCCATCTATCTATCTATCCATCTATCTATCTATCTATCTATCAAATGGTGGTCATTATCTATCTATCTATCTATCTATCTATCCATCTATATCCATCTAATCCATCATTATCCATCCATCCATCCATCTATCTATCCATCTAATGGTGGTCATTATCCATCTATCCATCTATCTATCCATCCATCCATCCATCCATTATCTATCCAGACTCACCTATCTATCTATCTATCTATCTATCTATCCATCCATCCATCTATCCATCTAATGGTCCATCCATCCATCTATCCATCTATCAAATGGTGGTCATTATCTATCATATCTATCTATCCATCTATCTATCTATCTATCTATCCATCAAATGGTGGTCATTATCTATCTATCTATCCATCTATCTATCTATCTATCTATCCATCCATCTATCTATCTAATGGTGTTCATTATCTATCTATCTATCTATCTATCTATCTAATGGTCATTATCTATCCATCTCATCTAATGGTGGTCATTATCTATCTATCTATCTATCTATCTATCTATCTATCTATCCATCTATCTATCTATCACAGACTCACCGTATCATTATCTATCTATCTATCTATCTATCTAATGGTCATTATCTATCTATCTATCTATCTATCTATCTATCTATCCATCTATCTATTCATCTATCTATCAAATGGTGGTCATTATCTATCTATCTATCTATCTATCTATCTATCTATCTATCTAATGGTGGTCATTATCTATCTATCTATCTATCTATCTATCTATCTATCTATCTATCTATCTATCTAATGGTGTTCATTATCTATCTATCTATCTATCTATCTATCTATCTATCTATCTATCTATCTATCTATCTATCTATCTAATGGTGGTCACTATCTATCTATCTATCTATCTATCTATCTATCTATCTATCTATCTATCTATCTATCACAGACTCATTGTATCATTCATCATCTATCTATCTATCTATCTATCTATCTATCTATCTAATGCTGTTCATTATCTATCTATCTATCTATCTATCTATCTATCTATCTATCTATCCATCAAATGGTGGTCATTATCTATCTATCTATCTATCTATCTATCTATCTATCTATCTAATGGTGGTCATTATCTATCTATCTATCTATCTATCTATCTATCTATCTATCTATCTATCTATCTAAATACTGTCCATTTATCTAAATGCTGTTCATTATTGATCTTTCTAACTCCCTATCTATTTTTATCTCCCAGTCTGCTCTTAATCTATCTATCTATCTATCTATCTATCTATCTATCTATCTCCGTTCCGCTTACGCTGAATACGCCAGTTCTCGTTCGATCTCAGCGGCATCGAACTCAGTCAGTACTTAGAAAAAAAACATGGTAAATAATAACGGAATTATTTGTTTGGATTCAATTAATTTGCACAAGGGTGTAAGTTCCACTTAAGCGGGCTTTTTCCGACGCCCTGTAGTGCAGCCTCCCAAGAGACTACATCTCCGACCGCTACGACCTTAACCTATTCAAGTCTCGGGTTAACTGTTATCTTCGCAGATATCCCGATAAGGTATACCTCTTACTCTGTAACGCTCTACCTCGAGTGAACCCCGGGCCTTGCACAGTGTGAACGCCACTGTTAAAATATAACGTATGATCAAAAAGTATCGGGACTGCTGCTATAAAAAGAAAACTTCAATACATATCAGTCCGGCGTTTAATCTACTTCGTAATAGTCCATTCTGAAGCGTCATTTGCACTGATGGAGGCATTCCTGGAATTTCTATTTAGGGATAGCGAGCAGCTACCTCATCGCACTCTCTTGGATGTCTTGTAATCCTTTTTCCTTTCAAGTGAGATTTGATTTTTTTGTTGAAGTGAAAGTCGCTAGGGACGAGATCTGAGGAATATAGTGGTTGTTGGATCTTGGGGATGTTGTGCTTATCCAAACACTGCTGCACAAAATCATGATCACTGATGGAAATTATACATTGTGGGGGAGATGAGCACACTCTACACACGTCCCTTCCAAGCACTTCTATGAACAACAGAAATAAGCAAGAACGTTATAAATAAAGCAGAGTTAAAGGTCAATTTGTGTCAAGCGGCTCCACTCTGTGTACTTTAGCTCCATTACCTTAGCAACCCCGATACTTCTTGATGAAACTTCGTACATCTAAACGCAGCATAAAAATAATGTAATGTTTTGTAAAACATTTTGTGGTCAAATCAGAATGCTCTACAGCATTTCTCACCTTAATATCACATGACTGCTTCCTTGATTTCTTATTGGCAGAAAACTTAAGTATGGGATGAAGAGACAGAAATCATTTTAAAATTAACTGTCAAAAAGAAAATGGTGTAAAGCCTCTTAAGCGACCGGATTTTCCATCAGCCTTCATTAAAATGGGTCATTGATAAGCTTCAAACGTTAACCCATTACCTGCCATGAGCCTCATTTGGGGATCTGTTAAAATTAAACTCCCTACATGTTATTCCTTGTATTTACATTGAATTGCTTACATACATTGCATTTGCAGAGGTATATTTTACAACACTTAGCCTTTAAAGTTTTTATTATTAGCCGTAAGAAGACACATTCTGTCGTAATTTTACATTTCACGAGTAGAAAAATAATGAATATTTATAAAAGTATTTTTCTTATTATTTCTAATCAATATTATTTTTTTTTTTATACATATATATATATATATATATATATATATATATATATATATATATATATATATTTGATGTTCTTGTTTCTATAAAAACGACAATGGTAACTACTAAAATTAAACATAAGGAATAAATAAATTCCTGAGACACATGTCTGGGCCAAAAATGCGCATTAAAAAAATTTGGCAGTTAATGGGTTAAACAATAAATCGAAACGGAGCTACTTAAATATAGTGGTCCCTTCGTAAAAGAAAATAGGGAAAAAAATTTTTCCGGGAATTTTTTTTTTTTTTTTATCATTATTAGACCTTCCCCAAGGCGCAACATTTGTCAGAAACAAAAAAAGTTGATTTTGTTTTTATCGATTTAAAAGGGTTGATCAAGTTTATAATATCGATACACTATAAAATCGGTCCTTGAATTTTTACAGATTTATTGGAAATAGCTGTTATTTTCAAGTTTCAAGTTGGAAACTGTACTTACGTCATTGATATTTGCATATTCTTACGGTCCGAATTCATGAGATGAATAATTATTATTTACACTGTTTCCATTCGGACAATTGCCGTTTGTCGTTGTTGCTATCACGGCGTTTCGGCTGTTGTGTCCCCCGGATTCCATAACCCAGATCGATATACACCTGATGAAAGCCGGAATGACCGAAACGTTAAGGTAACAACAACAAAGATGGGATCCTCGTTTAAATAGTGTAATTAACGCATTTTTTTTTTATTATTATTTTTAATTTTTTAAATTTCTTATTTATGGGAGATTCTTTCGGAAGCACGCAGACAACAATAAGGAGATAATAGGCATTCACCTTAAATGAAGAACAAACGGATATATAGATTTATTAATTACGTAAATATTTAGTAATGAAAAATTTATAAGTCCGTTTGGTCTTTTTTAAAATATTTTTTGAAAAAAGAAAAAAAAAATTCTGTTTCAGTATGTAGATCAGATAAGGTGCAGATAACTCTGTAAAAGATCGTAGACTGATGTTTACACCGTATCGTTATTACGTACAAGATCCCACTTCTAAATTGATAAAAGAAAAATTAAATAGTTTTCAATTCTGAAAAAAAAAAACCGGGCCCGTAAGAATGTGTAACTAATGCTAAAAAAATATTTCCAAAAAAGGATTTCCTTATTTTTTTAAATTTTTTACGAATGATCCCGTCTATCTAAGTCGTACCAATTAAATCTTTTAAATAAATAAACAACAAAATCTGTCTGTCCGTCCGTGTCTCCGAAACCCATCTAAATTGAGTTACACTTTCCTTACATAGACATATACCTTTTTTGATGATCCCAGGATTAAAAATCTACCTTTCATTGGCATTTGTTTCCGGGTGAGGAAAAAACAGTTAAAAATTCAAATTTTAAAATAACTGTAAAAGGTTAATGATTTTAAAAGTTTTCAATTTATATTGAGTTTAAAGTAACACGAAAACTAAGTGAATTTACAAAAATATTGTTTTAAATTCAATTTATAATATCGCCAAAATTTTATGAATTGAGGAAATCAATTTTATTTCTTCAAAATGCCAATGAAAAAGTTAACGTGAGATGTTTCGTTGGCGTGAATTTTTGAAGTACAGCAGAGTTTGTGATTTGAAGAACTCAACACAATTGAAGTTCCACAAAGTTTGCAATATGAAGAATTCAAGCTTCTGCCTAAATCAGAGGTTCGGCCGGAATTGGACTTATAGCATAAATCAGAGTCAAAGTGAGGTTTTGAAGACCCATAGAATGAATTGAAGAATTAAAGTTATTTCTTCCAAATTATTAGTGCTGTTTTCTAAGCTGGAGCTTCAGTTTTGGGCCTCTGGCCAAATTAGCCGTCGGTAGGGGTTAGCTTAAAAGTACACATGGATTGCGTCTTTTAAGCTAGTTACTAATAAAAAAAACGATGTATCAGGTCATCCCATAAGTTCTGTCCTAATTTTGAATAAAGAAAACAAGTGACCAAATGTTATATTTAATTACAGATTCAATCAACAATGTATTTTCGCTGATTATCTATGAATTCCTTCCATCTATTAACAAGCTTATTAATTCCATTACTGTAAAATTCTTTTGGCATTGATTCGAAGAGCTCACAAATGTCAGTTTTAACCACTTCCTGTGTTACAAAAGCTGTTGCTTCCAAATGATTCTGTAAGCTACGAAATAAATGGTAGTCTGAAGGAGCAAGATCAGGAGAATAAGGTGGATAAGGAATTTTCTCCCAACCAAGTTCTTCGATCTTTTGTGACGTGATTCTTGCTGTGTGGGGTCACGCATTGTCCTGATGAAAGATCACCTCTTTTCGATTCACTAGAGAAGGTCCTTTTTTCTTCAAAGCTTGGTTCAAACGCTCTAATTGCTGACAGTATATTTGAGCATTAATTGTTGCATTAGGTGGTAAGAATTCAAAGTGGATTATTCCTTGGCGATCCCACCAGATTTAAAGAAGAACCTTTTGCCCATGAAGTTCACTTCTCGGCTGTGGCTGGGGTCTTTCCCCTTTACCAAGCCATTGTCTCCGGCGCTTAACATTTCGATAAAAGATCCATTTTTCGTCGCCAGTCACAAATCTATCCAAAAAAGGTGGAACACGTTGGCGAGAATGGAGAGAAGAGCAGATGTCAACTCGGGATTTGAGGTTGTTTTCAGAAAATTCATGAGGCACCCATTTTCCAAGTTTAGGAACTTTTCCAAGTTGTTGAAGATGACGATGAACAGTTGTATTGTTTGAACTGAGAACCACTGCCAATTCCTCAACTGATAAAGCAGGATTTTCTTCAAGGGCTGCTTCAAGAAGCTTTTCATCACACTCAACTGGACGTCCGGTTCGATCTTCATCTTCAAGGGTCAAATCTCCACCTCTGAATTTTGCAAACCATCTTCTGCAAGTTCTTTCATTCACACATTCCTCTCCATAAACTGAGTGAAAGTTTCTATCCGTTTCGGCTGCTGAGTTTCCTTTCTTGAACTCATAAAGCATTATGTACCTCAAATGATTCTTGGGTACTTCCATGTTTGCAGGGTTTTAATCAAACAAAATTTAATTTTATTGTTCTCTGAAATAAAATTTGATCAGTTTAAATGCATCTAAACATAAAAATAATGTTCAGCTC